AAAAAAAAAAAACCAAAAAAAACCAAGTTCAAGAACAATAATCAGGTAAGATCCTATTTTTTGTCAAGTAAATATTTAAAAGTATATTTGTGCACAGAAAAGCTCAGAAGAATAAATACCAAAACGTATACAATGTTTAGCTGTGAGTGGGAATGGGGGAGATGATGGCAGTGTTTTCAGTGAGGTTTTTTTTTAAACTGTGTTTTTTAATTTTTCTGCAATGAAAATGACTTAACTTTTGTAATAACGGAATACGTTAGTGGAAATTTTTAGCCACCTGGTTTTAATGTTTTCTGGAGCAAGGCAGAGTGTAAGTTAACTATTTAATTAAAGGAAAATGGGTCAGCAAGCTCCATACCCCTGGTCCTGTTTCCAAATAATTAGGCAGTGGCTAGTGCTGTAAAATGTCATAGATTCTAAGACATTTTCATTGTCAGGCATCTGCCCTCTTTCTCGGCCATCCTGAAGGCCTGGGGGTGCTCACCCCTTGTGAGAGATGAGAGAGCCGAGGCCAGAGGAGTGAAGCACCTGCCCAGTGCTCAGTGTCACGGGGAACACCAGTGTCCTCGCCAGGGCTAGTCCCAGGGCCCTCAGGCTGCTGCTCTGCGCCCACCACATGCCCCACGGCGGGAACGCCAGAGCCTTTTTGCCAACCTGTGCTGCCCACTCTGTCCCAGCACCTCCTTTTGCCATCAGTTCCAGGCCTGCCCATTCCTCCTGTACTGCGTTATTGGGGTATGAGGCTCAGAGATGGGGGTACAATATTCAATCAACATTTGGGGGACATCACAACGAGCCCACAGCCCCGTGGGGAAGGGAAGACATGAATGAATTATAATGCTGTCTGGAAGGGAGGTCATGGAGGCCTAAATGCAGCCCTGTGGGAGTGACCATTTCCTTGGGGGGCCAGAGAGCTTCCCAGGGGGTTAACAGTGGAGGTGATGGCTCAAGGCAGGCCACACACCCAAGAGTTGGAAATCTAGAAAGCAAACAGGAGCTGAGAGAAAACTGCCCTCGGCTGCATTTGGTCCATGAAACTGGATGGCCCCTGAGGCCTCCCCAGCCATTCAGGGAGGCCTCATGAAGATTGCCCCCAAACCCCCTCCTGGGGACCTATAGCCACAGCAGGGACAGCTGGGGCACTCCCTGAGGCAGCCCGGCCCTCCTGCCTGCCCTCTGCCTCCTCTTTCATGCTCCCACCACCGGTTTGTCATCCAACTCCGTGTTACCTTCCAGAATGCAGCCAGGCTCAGCCCAAGCCCGCAGGAGCACTGCAGCCTGGCTGGAGGAGAGGCCCCCGAAAGTTCTATCTGGAGGCCTGTGCTGCTGGTACAGAAGGAGCAAGGCCCAGCTCTGTAGCACCTGAGTTATTCTCAGCATCTCAGCTCCTGCCTCTCTAAAGGGGGGACACTAGTATCTCCATGCAGAGCTACTAGAGAACTGGGTTAGTTCATGCAAATAACCGGGAGAAAGGAATCCTCAGTAAACATCAGTTACCACTCGACCCCAGTCTCTTCCCCAGGGAGAAATGCAAGGGTGGGCGGGGCAGCCTCCGTGGCGGAGCTAATCCAGCTCTCAGAGGGACGGTTGTTCACATCACTACTACTTTTCCTGAAAAGATTTTTTTCATATCTATGTAGATACATTATAAATAGATTATTGTTGTTTTTCTAGAAAAAGGTTTTTTTAGCATTGTATTCTCTCATATTATATTCTTTTTTTATCCTTGCTTAAAAAAAATCTTTCAAACTGCTTGCCTTCCGTGGAAGAACAAATGATACATCATTTCTGGAGGGACCTTGCAAATGATTTAATATCTTAGTTTAAAGCAAATTTAGTGTAATGAAATTTTATTTAAATTTAAATGCAAATTTAGATGACTGCAAAGCTAATATTGACTTTTTTTTTCTGCTTGGCCTCAGCTAACATTTCCTCCTTTATTCCCCTCCCCCAACTCTGTCCAGCTGCAGTAACCTCAAGTGAGGAACCAGGCACTGGGCTGAGGCGTTCTGCAGACGCCCATTCACGCTGGCCCCGCAGGGCTCTGGGTGTGGAGTGAGCGGAGCTGGAGGAGGACCAAGCACGGCAGGACCCGGGAGCACGGCAGGACCCAGAACGAGCGCAGTGCGGCAGGGCATACGGGAGGGGTCTGCCCTCCCTGCCTTGGCTTGCTTCCCCCCTGTGACTTGGCCTCTGCCTGCCCATCCCGTTCTTCAGGGAGTTTACAGTGGACTTTCCCAGTAAGTTTGACTGTATATTGTATGCTTAATATAAATTTGGTTGGTCTCCTGTGAATTGCTTACTGGCATCTTCTGTGTATTTTTATTTGGACCTTTCCCACGTTGCTCTCTAAGGTCTCCAGCACATGAAGGCAGCCCCCTCTGCGGGCCACGGCAGCGCCCTCTGCCTCCTCCTGCTGCTGGAGCCCCTGCACCACCCATCCTGCTCCTTGCCACCGTGAGCAGCCTGCAGGAGCCTTCCCGAAGACGCCTCCTCAGGCCCCTTATCTCTGTTCTTTCCTCTCCTCCCACTTACCTGTTCCCTGTTCCTCTTCCTCAGTTTCTCTTCTCAGTCGCTTCCAGACTCTCCCCTTCTGCCATCTCATGGCAAAGGACTCCCCAGCAGCAGCCCAGTGGGCAGGAAATGCCCATTCTGAAGGGCATTGTGAGAGAAATTTCCTGTCTGTGGGCATCTTCTCTGCCCAAAGGGTATCGTACAGTTCATGAGCCCCCATGGGCAGGGGTCAACGCCCTCTGGGTAGAATAAGTCTCGAAGTTGAGCTAACCAAGGCCTCTACCTGCCAGAAAGCTAGTGGGCCTGCTGGATGCCTGGTATTGAGGTAAGAGCATGAGCTCTGGGCTTAATGCTGGTCTGCTCCATTCCTGCTGTGCTACTCTGAGCAAGCTTCTGAACTCTCTGTGCCTCAGCTTCCTTTTCAGTAGAATGGGCACAATAATAGCACCCGTTTAATAAGATTGTTGGAAAGATATGTGTGAAGTGGTTGGTATGGTTCCAAGCATATGCTCAGTAAATGTGAGCCGTTGGGATTCAGAAGGCCCAAACAGAAGGTGCTCAATCTGCAGTTTGGGATCCAAAGGAAAGAAACAAGATAAACTGTTTGGAACTACTGGGAAAGATTTCTGCTCTAATAAGGACCTGCCTAAGGAGGAGAAAGGTAGCAATTAGTTCCTCTTGCTGGAGGTATTCAAACTCAGAATGGCAGTCCCCAGCATGGGTGCAGGAGAGGCAACCAGTCACCAGAGAACAGATCACCCTCACCCCCAGGTTCCTTTCCATGCAGAGGCCTGGGAAAAACTGAGGGTGGTCTCCCATGAGCTTTGAAACATAGGCCTAGGTGGACACAGCACTGCCCCCTCCCTATGGAAAAACCAGCTGTTAGAGGGTTGAACTGTTTCTGTCCTGCCAAAATTCATATGTTGAAGTCCTAAGCCCCAGAACCTCAGAATGTGACTGCATTTGGAGATAGGGTCATTGCAGATGACCTAAAGTATAAGGTGGTCCCAATCCAACATGAGTAATGTCCTATAAAAGGGGAAAACTTGGACACAGACACACAGACAGACACACACACACACACACACACACACACACACACACACACACAGAGAAAGTCATGTCAAGATGAAGACAGAGATCGGGGTGATATATCTACACCCCAAGGAGCACCCATGATGGCCAGGAAGCCAGCAGAAGCTGGGAGAGAGACCTAGAACAGGTTCTCTCCCACAGCCCTCCGGAGGAAGCAACCCTGCCAGCACCTTGACTTCAGCCCTCCAGCCTCCAGAGCTGTGAGCCAACCCATTTCTGCTGCTTCAGCTCTGTGCATGGTACTTTGTTATGGCAGCCCAAGCAGACCAAAATACCACCTCACAGCTCCTTTACTCACCGGCAGAGGGACAGCTGAGCAATCTTCTCTCTGGGCAGCAGCCCACTTTGCTGCCTTGTCACTCAAATGCGTGCAGGAGTCCAGCAGCCACCAGGTTGCTTATTAGAGATAAAGCCATGCTTGAAATGCTCAGATGCAGAGCAGCCTCCTACCCCAGGTCCCCCTGCCAGGCTAAAGCAGCCCTTCTGGGCCCACAACGCCCTGGTTCTGGTGTAGTTTTAAATTATTGCCATGCAGAAGCGCAACCACTTCCCAGTAGTGGCCAGACCCCTCTGCTCAGATAAAAGCACTCACAGGGTTACAAGGACAAAGGGAGGAGATAGAGACATGCAGGCAGGACAGAAAGCCCGGAAGGGCCCCTACTCCACCAGTCTCTAATGGCTGGTCTTTAGAACTGGGCCCCCTGTAGCCAGACAACAGGTTAACATAAGCGACTAAGGCTCTCATCCCCTATCCAGGCTCGTGCCAACAGTGTGTAGGCTGAATGCACCTTTGAAAACCAGAAACTACAGATCTAAGTGTTCTAATGTTGAGTTCTCAGGAGGACTCACAGGAAGAGAGGCTAAATACTATGGCCTCCGTCTCTTACAGATTCCTTAATAACACATCGTTCCAGCACTTACTCTGCATTGGGCACTCTGATAGGCATTCCATGTGTGTTATGCCCTCTCATCCTCTCACTACTCTAGCAGGTGGGTCCTTTCATTATCCTATCTTACACTTGAGGAAACTGAGGCACAGAGAGGTCAAGGAACTTGTCCAAGGGCCACAGAGCTAGAAGAGGGTGGAATCAAACTCTGGGCTCATAACCACCAAACTAAACAGTACCCATCTTGGATTCATTCTCCCCATGGTGGGAAGTCTTCAGGCAGAGGGCCGACAGAGCAGGAGAACAAGAAGAGGCCGCTGCAGTTCTGAGGGGTGAGCCAAGGGCCTGGCCCAGGCATTTCTGTCTCCTTCCAAAACCTAAAATCACATCCTGCAGAGCTCAGCAGGGCTGTGAAATTCATGCAGTCCCCATTTTTCTCACAAAGAGGCTGAGATCTGGTGAGGTGAGGTGACTGGCCTCAGATCCCACAGCAAATTAGTGGCAGAACCAGGCCAAGAACAGATGTTCTGATTTCCAATCCAGCAATCTTTGTTAAATACCACCTCCCGTTCTTAACAAGAGGGAGTGATTTTCTTCCCCAGGCCGAGAGATTCTTAATGATACTGAGAAACCCTTTCTGATCACCGCAGCTGTGATGCATTTGGTCAGGTTTGCCACAGCAGATCTTCCATGGAGTTTGAAAAACGGGACAGATATTGTACTTCCCACCGGGATGAGTGTCCAACCTGCTGCAAGCAGATTCCCTTGAGGGAAATCACACGTAGATGGAAACCTCCAAAGACCATATTTTACATGTGGAATTGAGGTAACTAACCTTTTGCTAAAAGTCTCGTTGCAATCAATTCTCCAACATTCCTGTAAGGCAGGGAGAGTGATGCCCGGAAGGGAAGTGCGGCACTTGTTCAGAGCACTGGAACAGCACCAAACGGCTCCCATCTGCGAGCCTCACTATGTACCAGACCCTTGCAAACAATCCTTGAGGCATCACCTCCACTTTCTGGATGAGAATGCTGAGACGTGGAGAGGGGAATGAAGGCACCCAGGGTCACTTACACACGAGCAGGCAGCAGAGATCTGGACCAGGACTTCAGGGCCCAGCCTAGGTCACATACTCCACCGTCTCTTTGGTTGGTGGGAGATGACCAGCTTGCTTGATGGAATCGGTAGCAATCCCAATAAGGGAGTTTAAGCCTTGAGTTTCAGCTTCCCCGTCTGTAAAGTGCTTCACGTGCGGTGCTCTCAAACAAGCAGGCAGGCTGAGCTGAGGAGGCACCGGGCACAGAGGTGGTGCTGAGCCCCAGGCCCGGAGAGATGCGGCAGGAGCCCTGAATGAACCTGCCCTAGCAGCTGCCCAAGATTATTTGCCCCAGGCGCTTACTCCCCTTTCTCTTCGCTGTCCATATGGATTTTATAAACAAGATAAAATCAGAACTTAAATATTAAACAGACTCCACAGGCTGCTATTGCTGGCTGGGGCAGCCCAGCACTGTTTTTCCAGATGTTCTCCAGGCCATTTCTAGGAGAGGCCAGAGGTAACGGCCCAGGGCAAGCAAGCAAGGGCTGGAGGAAAAGGGAGGCCTCGGCACCAGACACCATTCGATGGGGGGCCGGTGGGTGTCAGCTGGACAAACACTGCAGGGAAAGGCCTGGGCCCCTCATTTTCATGTTTCATGACCTCTGCCACCCCACTCTCCTCCTCCCTCTGCCCCCAGGAAACCAGCTCCAAACACTCTCTTTCCTTAATAAGCTCCAGTGAGGTGTGAGGTCAGCCCCCATCCATCATTCTCAGACACAGGCAAACAAAATCTGGTGAGGCCCAGTCAGGGGAAGGAAGACCCCAGAGCTGCTGCTGGCTGTAGGGCCAGGGCCTGGGCTGGGTTTGGGTTCCTTTCTGTCTTACTCTTACAGTGAGTTGTGCAAGATAAAACAAGTCTGCAGATCAGAATCAAACTGTGTAGCCACCAAGAGTATTAAGACCAAGACATTCATATTTCACTAACTTTAAACTCAACTGTGATGGAGAAACCAAAACCACTATTGTATTGGCAAGTCAAGCAAACCAACCCTAAGTCAGCACTACAACTGTGGGAGAAAAGAAATCGTGTGACTTGCATATATAGGTCAGTTAAAAAAAAAAAAAAGTAAAAGACCAAATCAGGATTTGAACTCTAGACAGACTTATTTAAGTGTCCATAAACCTTAAACCCTATACCATGAAAGCCATAAGACTTAATGTGTGCCTTCCCTGGTATTAAGCTTTTGGACTTCAATAAGTATGGTCCAGCCAGGCCACTAATCATATCAAGAGACCCAGAGGGAACTTCTGGCTTTGGAACTTGAAGGACTGATAGGAAAGTCCTGGGATGGAGAATGGACACACAGAGGGATGGGTAGATAGATGGATGGATCCAATAGGAGACACATACAGATGGATAGATCTTTCTATACCTATCTGTCTACCTATCTATCTGTTTAATCATCTATCTATCTAAAGAGAATTATTTTTAAACAGAGGTTTATACGATTCTGGTGTCTGTCAAATCCAAAATTTGTAGAACTGCATAGTCAGGCAGGAGTTGATGCCACAGTCTCTAGGCAGAATTTCTTCTTCTCTGGAAAACCTCAGTTCCTTGATCCTAAGGCCTCTCAACTCATTGGATGGGGCCCATCCACTTTACTGAGGATGATCTCCGTAACTTAAAGCCAACTGACTGTAGCTGTTAACCACTCCTACCAAATAATATCACAGCTATATCTAGATTAGTGTT